AGTCAGAACACTATTCTTTATTCCTGATCTGAAATGGGGCAGCACCCTGTGCTTGGCCTCTCTGATCCAGCAGCAGAAATGTTGTGATCCTTCTCTTGGTGATGCTCCAGCAAAATGCTGCAGCATGGTTGCTGTATGTGTGGGATGTAGAGGTTCCTGGAAGGAAGATGGTAAGAGGAGGCTGTGACTGAGTAGAGGTTCTCAGCATCACCTTGCATTGTAGTTTCTACTACAGCATGAAGTCCCATAGGAAATGTAATCTTGGAAAGCAGATTGGTAAGAGGAGAAACAGACCCTAAGCAAAAGCCTTCCAAACTTCATCAGGGCTTGGTCACTTAATTGGGATACTTGGTATCCCTGATTCACCCCTTCCTCTTTTGATTGGTACAAATATTGCAAGAGACGCAAATATTATTATCACTAACATGGGGAAACGCACTTTCCACTCCTCTGTAAGTCACAGTGCAGAAAAGAATGAAGGGCTAAAAAAGCTAGAAAGACACCATGATTCTGAACAGAAGCATTTGAGAATGGAAGGCCAAAGAGACTTTAATTCTGATTTCTATTAATGGGATTCATTACATGTTCGTATTACTGTCATTAAATAAGAAACCAGGCAAAAAACTTCCAATCCAAGGCCAAAGAGTGTTCTGAGAGGTTTCTGTCCTCCACCTTTATAGCCATATTTTGAAGGTGAGAGCTAGTAACCTTCAGACTTGCAGCTCCCTGGCTGAACTGTCCAAAGCAGACACAAGTCAGAGAGCACCTGCCCCAGAATAGTTAACTTTCTCTGCACTTTCTCTGAGGCCACAGTGAACTTGGTTAATTTTTAGTTGGCATATACACAAGCATTTCATTTTCCAAGTGGTGTGTACTCAGCACTAACCATGGCCTGTTTCTTTCCACCTTTTCAAAACCATTTCACTAGGCTATGCGCAGACTTGCTTCATGAAGATGGGCTGCTGGTATTGTCCTACCTGTGAACTCACAGTATTTATCCGCCAGTACTATATAAGCATTTTCTGCAATGAAACCAATCTTTGCACTTCAAGAAAAATCTGATTGTTTGTGTGAATGATACAGATCTCTAGAAAACTCTGAATTTTAGCTCACATTATCCTGGAAATATTCTGGACCTTGATTCAGCAAGCACTTTCCCATATGATGTATTGATGAAAAAAAATGAGAAGACCATTACAAAAGATGTACTCAGTTTTGCGACTATTCAGACAGAAGGTGCATTACAGTGTTTATCAGTGTGAACAGGATGAAAAAACTGCTTTGTGGTCTACCCAGGAGAATTGAAAGGACCAAAATCTTTGGATGGCAAGCTTTTTGTTCTGTATTTGTACCACACCTAATGAGAAAGCAGGAATTCTAGCTGGCCAAGGCTTTGGATTCTTGAACATTAGTGTGAGCATACCTACTGACAAGTCTTGATAATGTTTTCTGAGCAATTCCTTAAGTTGCTGCAGGCTGTTTGATAGCTGAAATGGGCAACAGATGAAACAGTCACAAAAACAGAAAACAACATTGAACTACTATAAAACTTTAAATAGGATTAAGTAACCTTTGAATACAGGTTCATTAGTTCTGTATTAGTCCCATTATAGAAAAATTTGCACTACTATTAATGATCATCCCTAAAACAAAGTATACACAGAAGATTATTTTGGTTATGTATCTTTCATTAAGAGGCAGATCACGACATAAATTAAGGAAACCCTTAGTCCCCAAGTACTTAATGGAATCTGTAGAACAGGCTGCTACTGAGTGCAAGTGAGAAAGTCAAAACATGACCGAGTATAGAAGTTTGTGGGTCTATTTTTAAATGGAATAGAGGATTTTATTTAGTTTAATAGTTATATTTTTATATAGCATATTTTTTCTTTTAATCGTCTACATTAAACTGCTGCTGTTCTTTTACATTTCACGGTCCATAATGCACAAGTGCAATAATTGACAAAAGGATTTGACCTGCAAAACTTTAATCCTTACTTTAGGGCTACATAAAAAATACATGTAGGAAATCAATGTTCTTCCTTTTAATAAAGAAGAAATGCTTTTTGATGGAAAACAGACTGCTACCTTTAATTTTTTTAGCACTATATTAATTTTTTAAATGCAGAAACCCTTGCATGGTTAGGGAACAGATAGTAACAAAAGTATAAGAAACATCCAGGTATAAAATCCCTTTTAAGTTTCACAATGTGGGCTGACTGGTTTCAATATGTTCACATATTTAAATCTCCTTATTTGATTACATCAGCAAAATTTTCATATATCCCACTGCACAGAGAAGATTTTTGCTGCAAGTAATGTTAGCAAAGACTCTCGGGTGAAAAGCTAAGCACTACATAAATGATTCCTTAAGGACCTAAGTGAACTCCATCAAAATCAGTGAAAAAAAGAAAATCCAATAAACTCTGTCAGTCAGTATCTTAGAGAGTAGGTAACAGCACCAGACTGACATCTGTATTCTCTAATTGACACAAAAACTTCAGCCTTCATGACAGTGAAGTTTCTCATTTCAAATGCAATACAGGATTGAATTGAGGTGATACTGATGTTCCAGTCTAAGCCTGCGAGATTCAGGTCTGTATTCAGAGACACATGCTATCTGCACATCTGTAGGCACCTCCACAAGCTGATAATGTGGCAAACCAGGCTGACGTGCACCTCCTCAGATGGAAGCATTAATTGCTCTTTACACTAACGCTTAGGCTCAGCTGCTCTTATTTGACAGGTCACACTTTTAGCACTGCCTGTTCTCTCCCTTTCCATTCATCAGCCTAATGCAGGAGGTTGGCACTTCTGCCCACGTTAGTGACAAAACTTCCCTGCCAGGCCATGGCCCCAGCTAAAATTAACCCGAATGTAAGTTACTGCTGCCAGCGCACAAGGCCAGAAACAGCGGGACAAAGCCAGACACGTTTTTCTGAGCCTGTACTGCTTTTCTAAAGTGGATGTACATTCCATGTAAAAATACTCTGCCTGGGACTGATAAAGTGAGCTTTCAGCTCATTTTTGTGAAGAACACACACTATGGAAAAGATGCAAGTGGAATTGTTTTTTCCTTAAGAGAACATCTGCACTGTGGAGTTTGAGTGTAGATCCTTACTTGACAGAGATATGGGCTTACACTATTTTTTGAACCTTCTCCAGTTCTTGTCCCTACAGGTATTTATAAAAAGCAATTAAATATTTAACTGTCTTCCAGTTTCCTTTCCAAATGCAACACTTCAGCTGGAATTAATTATGAAAAAACACCATTCGATGCACTTATTCTTGGCCCCCATATTTCTTCCAGGCATGGCTGTATTTGTTCTTAATTTGTCAAAAAAACAGCATTTCACACAAAGCCTACAGTTACATAGAATGGTACAACGTGACATACGACATACTGAAGGCATTAAAATGTCTTTCACAGTGCTTTGGGGGTATGTGCGTCTTAATTTTCTACCTATGTATCCCTCAAAATGATGGATACCAAAATAATGGATTTTGCAGTGAAGCTAAAATTCTCCACAATTTTGTACTAACATCTGTGAGTAATGCAACTAGATGTGCTCATGTTGTTCCAGTACAATGAAGAAGTGATACTTTCGTATGCATTTTGAGCATTCCCTGCATGCCAGGTATTAAATTTCGACATGTATTTTAAGTTTTTTACCTTTATAAACCCGTGTTTTAATAGTAATTGTATCCATTAACTAGAAAATAAAGTTGTACATACTGAAAACATGCTCCATGCATCTGCATGTTTGGTTTTTTAAGACTCTTCTCTTTATGAATTCTTATTATGGAGAAATAAACCGTATTATTGGCGGGGGGTGGAATGTGTGGAAGCAGGAATCAGTGTCAGCTTCCCTTGGGCCTGCCTTTTGAGGCACAGCAAAGACAAAAGAGAAAATCTGTTCTATCTGCCTTGAGGGGTAAGACAAGAAACAATAGGCTTAAATGGCAGCTTTCAGATGTTAAGGCTATAAAGATAATGAGAGACTCCCTCTGTTAGGGCACAAGGTCCCAGTCCTGGAGACCTTCAGTGAGCCAGTCACCAAACCCTATAACCTATGTTTTAATTGTATTATATTTTTCTTCAGTGATAGACAGTATCCCACTGAATTACACAGCATTTACAAACTGCCAAGTTTTCAGAAGTAACACAAAGTAGTCTCTTGAGGTAGCAAGGTCTACTGCTGTTAGCCAAGCTGGATGGGACTTTTGAGCAACCTGGTCTAGTGGAAGGCATCCCTACCCATGGCAGGGGGATGGCATTTGATAACCTTTAAGGTTCCTTTCAACCCACACCATTCTATCATGATTCTGTGATGCTTTCAGATGCCCTGGATGTTCACTGCTCCGTCAAGTCACTGACGTTCCTACAGCCCCAGCTGTCAGGAATATGCCGTTTCCATGGTAAAACTTGAGGCTGGCCAGCAGCAATTCAGAGCCCGTGTGCTTTCAGATCTGTCCCCTTTCTTGGCATCCCGCACCACATCGCCCTCCCGCTGGGCCCGCAGGCAGCGCTGGTGCGGCTCCTCAATAGAAAGACGACTCTTCTTAATTCTGCCCTTCCCCAAGAAACACAGGGTCACGCCTGTTCCCAAAGAACCCCTCCCTGCCGCGGCCCAAGGCCATCCACCCGAATTCCACCGGGAGCCCGTTCCAGAGGGGAAGGAGGCCCGGAGCCGAGGCAGGGCCCAAGGATGACTCACAGCAGACCCGCCTGCGCCTGACCGGAGCGCAGATCCTGCCCGCCGCCAGTCAAGGCACTTCTCCCCGCAGGGCGGCGCCCGCCCCGGCCCAGCCACCATCTCGGTGGGCCCCCGAGCTCCCTCCGCAGCTCACTGTACCCCAGAGAACCGGCCCGACCGCCTCCCTCCCGGCGGCCACCGCGGGGCAGCCGCACATTCCTCCCCGGCCTCATCGCAGGGCCCGCTGCGCCCGTGGCCCGGTCAGAAGAGCTCCGCCATGCGCGCACCGTCCCGCGGCGGCATGGACGCTCCGCAGACGCGCAACGACCACGTCCCCACGACCGCTTCCCGACCGCGCACGCCTCCACGCTCCCCTGCCCGTCTCACGGGCGCTTCTGCTTCCGGCCGCGCCCTTCCGCTCCCACAGTGCCCCGCGCCGAACCATGGACCACAATGGTGAGGAGGGGAGAGGCCGGGAGAACCGTTTATACCCGCTTGCACCTGCGCCCGCTCCGCGCTGCCGGGCGGGGAGAGGCCGTCCGCGGGGCCGCCGGGCGTGCGGCAGTGCCGGGGTGGCGGCGGGATGCGGCCTGGCGCCCGGTAACGCCGGCAGGGCCCGGGTTTGCCGCGGTTCCCCGCGGCCCGCGCGGTGCGGCCTGGTCCGTCCCCACAGCGCCGGGCTCGCGTCCCTCGCTCTCACTGGAGAGGCGCGGCCTCCCCGCCTCCTTCCACCCCCTCGGCACCTGACGGGCCACCCGCGCTTGGAGCCCCCTCTCCCGCCCCGGGGCGGGCTGCGGAGAGCGGCGGGAGTGGGCGCGGCGTCAGGCGCTGCCGGTGGCGGCTGCGCGAAGCGGGGTGGTGTGTCCGCAGCCTTCGGGCCTACGGCGGCTCGGGGGTGGCGGCGGGGCCGGTGTTTAACCGGTGTGTTTGCCGAGATCGGTGCATGTGCTCTGGAGAGGAAACTGGCATAAATGTTTAAATCTGGCTTTGTAGCTTTGCTGGTTAGCTGCTGGCGTCATCCAACGGGTGGATGAGTGGACATGGGGCTTTTGATACGGTGTTTTGCGCTTTTTTTTTTTCCTTCTCCGTAGCAAAGATTGCGTTATAAGTTTATATAGTATTTGAGCTATATTGATGATTAAAAAATCCCAATACCTGAAACACACAGGTAAAATTTAAGAAAGGTTGCTGAGTATGGCAGTTCAGGAGGATGTATCACCTGTAATTAGAGTGTCTCTGAGTAGTCTTAACAATTTTGGTATGTTTATATTTTGTTGGGTTTTGGTTTTGTTTTATTTTTTTCTTGAACTTCATTCTGGTAGTTCCGCTCACACAGACTGGAATTTATTATCCTTTCATGAAACACGAATGACTAATAAACTTGCTAGTTTGGATTAGTTGAGCTGCTAACTTATGTAAATACCTGTGGCTTGCAAAGGCATATGCAGCAAAGTCATCAGAACTTAATTGTTTCCTATTGGCAGTTTAGTGGAGTAAATAATACACATTTGGTTGGTTGTTTTTTTGTTGTTTTTTTTTTAGATTTGTTTTAGTTCTTCCAACTTGCAAATGGATTAAGGTTCTGCAGAGACTTTTTCTGATCTGTGGTATTGTGGTTTTGTGTATTCTGGTAGAAACCAGCATTTCCTAACAAGTGGAAAATCCACAGCTTTAGCGTCATTAACTCTGATGTTCTAGTCCAGCAGCCTCTGTGGAAGGCTGGTGGGAGAGCTGTGTTAGCTGGGTCACCTCTTCACCCAGCAGGACAGACTAAGCCAAAGCAACAGATTAACAGAAGTAAAACCAGGCTTCATTGCTTTTACCTTTTTACATATTGCCTTTTAGTATGAAATGTGTAAACCACAGTGCTGAGAGGAATAAATACATTTGCTCTGTAAGAGGAAATTGAGGTCTCTCGATTTTATGGTAAAGTGACTGTCAGGTCACAGTTCCAGTTTGAAACCTTGTTGCAGTTCCTAGTTCCTGTGGTAGCTGCTTAGGGCAATCCCTTTTCCCCCTTTTCTTATTTCTTCTCCTACTTGTTGTGTTGTGTGGGATGTTTATAGGCTTTGGGGGAGCAGTAGTGTGTGAGATGCTGTGCAGAGTTACACTAATGGGACCCTAATTTTAGTGTCCAGATGCTACAGTACTATAATCCCTTGGGGTCTTGATTATTCCAGTGCTCTGTCAAGTGGAGCGCAGGGCTTATGCTGTGACAGCTTGTGGTACACCCCTTGAAGGCTGAGCTTTGAAACAGCTGCTGGAATGGCATTTTCCATTTAAGTAACAGTGAGCTGGGTAGATTTGTGAAGGACAACTTTCTTTTTGTGTGGATGAGATGCTATACAGTGGTTGAAGGTGGACTCACTGGAAGCTGAGGGAGTCGTACTGTCTTCATTGGTATTGTTTATTGCAATACCCCCCTTTTGATTATCTCTCAGAGCATTGTATCTACTGATGCATGTGTCAGGCTACTTTTTGCTTCCTTTGGCCTGGTATTCAGATTTAAGTCTGGTTAAAGAGAGTTCTGTGTGTAGTGGGGAGCAATAATTTTCAGTTTGGCAATGATACTACTATGTATTCTTAAGTACTGATATTTTTGTGATGCTTTATGCTAAACTTGTGATATGTCAAGATGGCGAGTTAATAAAAAAACTAGTTTCCTTCCAATTTTAATAAACAATTTACATAAGTTGTAAAAATTACCCCTTCTCATAAGAAATTCTGTGTTGTCAAGGTTGTACAAAGAATTGACTCTTCAGTACTATTTATGCTGTGAGAGAAGCTATACAATTAATGTTTGAGGTTATTTCCTTTTGTGGAGGAATGACAGGCTTGCTAACTTTTTAAAATAGCTTTATTTTTATAACTAGATTTCCTAAAAATCACACTTTTCCCCAGTGCAGTTTTTTTTGTCTTCTAGAAAAAACTGTGTGAAGATACTTATTTTGTAGTGATTAAACTTTGATATGCTGTATGAGTCTTAAACAAGCTTTAAAAGTTATTTTTCTTAAAACTCTTTTGGAAACTATTAGATAACTAAAAAAATACGTAACTTTTTTTTTTTTTCCCCTTTCATAGACAATGATTTGCAAGGAACAAATAGTTCAGGATCATTGGGTGGTCTTGATGTTCGTCGAAGAATCCCTATAAAGCTTATCTCAAAACAGACCAATAAAACCAAACCTGCACCTCGAACTCCAAGAAATATGAACAGGATGCCTTCGAAGACACAAGCTGGTGATGAAGGTAAATTGATATAAATATTAGCCCTGTAGGGGAGCATATTATACTTCAGCATTGTTCAAGACTGTATTCAGTCCTGAAGACTTGGAGTCCAAGGTTCTGTCTAAGTGCAAACAAATTTCAAATTCCTTGGTACTGTTGCGCTATAAGGATTACATGATGCACACTCCCAAAACAGTCTGTCTTAGTGTTTTGACTCTACCTTTCTGTAGAATGGGCTCTGCAGATTGGAAGTGCATTTCTTGATGGTTTCCGTATAGAATGATACATGCTTTTAATAGCAGCTGGTGTCAGTTAGGAAAGCATGGTGGCTGGCTGTGTCTTTCTTTTCTTTCTTCTTTTCACAGAAGAATTTGAATATAACAAAGAGGAGCGATACGAATGCAAAGGCGGTGAAATGTTTGGCAGTCAAAGGAGATTCCCTGGACCCATCTTTTGGGACTATAAGGTAAAGTCATGGATGGAAAGTCATGAATCTTTGTGAATCATTCCAAGCTGTAGATAGTTCTGGTAGATAACTTCTTAAGTAAAAGTGCTTCCATTATTTTTGACTGACTGATTGAAAATACATCCTCTGCTTTCTCACATTTCTTTCTCAACTAATTCAGAAATAGTGAGTGTGTTGATAATAATTGAAATGAGAAGCTTTTAGTGATGTTTTTTTTTCTCCCACTCCCTTCTCTACCCTATCAGATAAACTTGCTGGGGGAAAAGGATGATACACCAGTCCATTTTTGTGATAAGTGTGGATTGCCTATCAAAATGTATGGACGCATGGTGAGTGAAACTATCAGTGCAAGATGCAGTCATGGCTTCCCTTTAGGTAAAATTAGTTTTTACTGTGTTTCTGTGAAGCCTTTAGAGGTTACTGTTTATTCAGGCACTTGCTGAAATCAGCAGAATGTCAGGATGGAAGCGGGGCCCTTCATTGCTGATGTGTTTGGGTTTTTTTCCATTTGGCTGATTTCACTTCGCCCCCTGATGTCCTGATGTAATAAAGTAAGATTGAAAATGTTAAACAAAAAAAATCAGAATATTGACAAAAAAACCCTTCAAATTCATTGGGTTTTGACCTTACACCACTTAGGTTTAAAAGGAAGCTCTTTAAGAGTCACAGTGATGTTAGAAAACAGTTTGCATTTATGTCCCTTTAAAGTTAGTGTGACAGAATCCCTGAGATTAAATTAGATTTCTAAGTGTGATGTAACAGGCTTCAGGATCTGGCTTAATGACAGTTAATGCTTTTAAAACTTTTCTTCCTTGCCAGCAAGAGAAGTGTAATTAGATTTCATATGCAGCTTCTGTGAATGTTCTTTTTGGTATTATTGCAAAACCTAAACTTTTGCCTGTATTTTTTTTGCCAACATTAAAAAACCCAAACAAACCTACCCCCAAAAACCCCAAACTCAACACAAACTGTTTTAGAAAGCTTCTATGCAAAGATGGTGTAAACTGCTAACTACCTGTTCACAGGCTGTGCTTGTTCACCTTATAGGGAACTTAGTTACTTTTATTATTAGCTACTTGTTATTATTTTGTACCATAGGAAGGAACTATATTCTGTAGAACGACACAGATATTTATATACAGTGACCTAACAGAGCTGGTTTTTTGTCTCTAGATACCTTGCAAGCATGTTTTCTGCTATGACTGTGCTATACTACATGAGAAAAAGGGAGACAAGATGTGTCCAGGGTAAGTTATCGCTAGACTTGTTATTAAAACAAATGTAGGAAAGTAACTTAAATACCTTATTTTAGATACTGTGTTAGCAGTTATTTATGTAATTATTTATATAGTTTTTTAGCAGAGGCAGTAGAATACTCTCTACTTAATCAGTTGATTATATTTTCGTATCTTATATTTTGGGATTTCAAGAGATCGGCATTTACTGTTTAAGTATCTGGGTAGGTAACTTGTTACAGCTCTAATTTGAAAAAGATTGAACAGCAGTTTAATTTACTTAGTGAGAGTGACTCTAGTCTTAATGCACAGAGGGAATTTGTGAGAGTGAAGCTATCTATAAGTTTCCACCTCATGAAATTTTAATGGTCTTTCTTAGTTGTGTTTGGAAACTTAAAACCAAGATGAACTTCAAAATCAATGTTTCTTTCCTTGCTATGGTGGAGAGGAAATTGTCAGTTCCGATTTGTGTAACTATGGTAAACTAATTGACTCAACAAAAAAAATATTGCAGATAAAGCTCTCTATGATGACTCTAAACCAATATTCTCTTATGATTTAGCTGTAATGAACCAGTGCAGCGAATTGAGCAGTGTGTACGAGGGTCTCTCTTCATGTGTAGCATTGTTCAAGGGTGCAAGAGAACTTACCTGTCACAGAGGGACTTACAAGCTCACATCAACCACCGCCATATGAGAGCTGGGAAGCCTGTTAGTCGGCCTCCAATTGAACCTGTACATCCTCCTATTGCCCCGCCGCCTGCCGAAATTCCTGAGCGCTTCATAATGCCACCTGAGAAACATCATATGAGCCACATTCCGCCAAAGCAGCACATCATGATGCCACCACCTCCTTTACAGCATGTGCCACATGAGCATTACAACCAGCCACATGAAGACATTCGTGCACCTCCTGCAGAGATGTCAATGGCTCCACCGCCACCTCGCCCAGTCAGTCAGGACACCTTCCGCATCTCCACGAGAAAACACAGCAACTTAATCACTGTCCCTATTCAGGATGATTCCAGTTCAGGTGCTCGAGAACCACCTCCACCAGCCCCTGCACCTGCTCATCATCATCCTGAGTACCAGGGTCAACCAGTGGTATCGCACCCTCATCATATTATGCCTCCACAGCAGCATTATGCACCACCCCCACCACCACCTCCACCAATAAGCCATCCGCTGCAGCACCCTCCCCAGGCAGCAGGTACTCCTCACATGGTGTATAGCCAAGCTCCTCCACCACCAATGACCTCTGCTCCTCCTCCTATTACCCCACCGCCTGGACATATAATTGCCCAGATGCCACCATATATGAATCATCCTCCTCCAGGACCTCCCCCTCCTCAGCATGGAGGCCCACCTGTAAATGTAAATGCACCCCCTCCCCATCACTATAATCCAAACTCTTTGCCGCAATTCAGTGAAGATCAAGGAACTCTTAGTCCCCCTTTCACACAGCCTGGGGGAATGAGTCCAGGGATATGGCCAGCTCCAAGGGGGCCACCTCCACCTCCAAGGATGCAAGGGCCTCCTGCTCAGGCCCCGCTTCCTGGACCACATCACCCTGATCAAGCCAGATACAGACCCTATTACCAATGATACAAGCAACTGTATGAATAGAGAGTGCTATGAAGAGGATAAAATTATATACAACAGCCTTTTAATTGTTTTGGGGTTATTTTGTTGTGTGTTTTTTTAAAATACTGTCATTTTGACTGTAGGACATTTTGGAGTTTGAATCTTAAACAAATTTTAAGCCTTGGCTATAGGACTCTGACTTCAGATACTCTGTAGTGCTAAAATAAGTGGCTTAGTAAACCACAGTTGCATTTTAACAGAACTTCTGTCTCTAATGTGGCTAAATTGTCCTAAGATGAACACTTGTAATATTATTTCCTGGAGAAAATGAACATGTGTTGTACTGTTGTTTTTGTTAAATCCAGTGTTTAGTTTCACTTGTGATACATTTTTGTTAACCTGTGTACAATAATTAAATTGAAACACGATTGTAAAAGCGGTGGGTTTTTATATGAAATTAACACAGACATAGTTCTGGGCCACCATTTCAGCACTAATGCTTTCCAAATGGGTAGTGTAATGAAATATTAAGGGAACTTAAATATTTCTCCTACTAACAGTTACCATTACTTACAGCATATTTAGGCTATAACCAGGCATGCAGAATACTGCATTTCAGTTTTTTTCTTCTTTTTTTTTTTTTTTCCTTAAATTCATGCAACAAGATAAATTGTTCAGAAATACAACTTTGGGGATGACATAAAACCATGCGATGTATTGTGGGGTTTAGTGGGGATTTTTAATTTGGATTTTGGCTTTATGGAGTTCTTGTTTTAAAGCTAGTTTTGATTTGGAAGGTTCTGTTTACATGTATGCTGTTCACTAGTGTTGAATTCAAACTGTTGTGTTTACCTATGGCTATGTTTGTGCAGAAGTGGCTGTGAATTGGCTTGCCATGTCTGTGAGAAGCAGATAATTTTAGGTAGGGAAGTGGTGTTTGCCTCTGTCGCTTTATATAATATGTACAGTAGGAAAACTTCCCATTTGGATAACCTGGAAGAAGTGGTCTGAAAACCCACATGTAGATGCAAAGAAATAAAAAGCTACACATCCTTCATCTGTTTCGATTTTGTGATACAGATTTAACTGAACAGACCAGAATTAGGTGTCTTGGTTTTCTTTTGTCAAAAAGTAGCAGTGTGAGCAGGCCCTCAGGTCTCCTTTGGCCCAAAATTTGTAGAGAGAAATGTAATAAATGAGAATGTTCTTTTTTTTTTTTTGTGCAGCTGATAGGAGAGCCAGCCAGTAAGATGACAGCGCAGTTTGTCATTTGGAGTGCTTATCTTTGCATTTTTAATCCATGTTAGTGCTGAACCTTTGTCTTTTCAAAACGCTGCATTTCCAGCAGTGGTGCTTTTAGGTGGAGAAATCTTTTGGGGTTTAGGGTTTGATTTTTTTGTGAAGGTTTGTAATTCCCTACTGTTCTTGAATAATCTGAACCATGTTAAAGCCTCAGTGTTACTATTTCTTTTGTAAACATCTTTTCCTGCCTCATAAGTGGTAAATTTATGAAAGCTTGGCAGTGCAACACACCAAATGCTGTAATTTTACGTATAAACGGCCTATTTTTAGTTACCAGAGCAAGGGCTCTTCAAATTTGCTCTGTCCTTGATTGCCGTGGATTTCCTTGTGACCAAGGGACAATCTTTTAGTCTACCTTTCAAATAAACACTTCTTTAGAGATGGGCAAATAGATTCTGGGATATACAAATAAATTCTGGGGTATACAAATGGCTAAGAATTGTCACCTGATGAGAAGTCTGCTTAGCTGTAATATGCTTCTTCGCAGAAGGAGTTGTTTGGTTTGCTTTCTCTGAAAACTAAGTTATTTGTTTAAAAAATAAAGCACACTGGTAAAGAAAAAGAGGCTGGCTGTGGTAGTGTGCTGTGGTACTGGCTGGCTGAAAATTTGCTATTTCAGTCTGTATGAAGGTGAAAATGACTCTGTGGGTGTTACTTTGTTTCAGTAACTAACAGTAAGCGCATAAGGAACTTTAAAGGGGGTCCCCTTCTGTCACTGTTAAATTGCTTGGCAGGAAGTAGGCACATTTATATTGCACCATATAACTTCATAGGGGAAGAAATACGCATGTGTGAATAATATTCTTTGACTGCAAAGGCAGACTTGGGTCTGACATACCTGATTTAAACAGCCTTACTGATGGTTCCAGGGTTTGTTGTGTTCAGGCTGAGAAGGTAACACATGGGGGTTACATCAACCTGCCCAGGGCACTTTGTGTTGGGGTATAAGACATTATGCAATGGGCTATTACCTGTTCAGTTGCAGCTGATGAGGAAATACCATCATGCTTGTTTTTAGAAATAATTCAGATTGAACATTTGTGTTGCGTATCCAGTCAGTTGTGAAAAAGATGAAGGGTTCAAACATAATTCTGGGTCCAAAGCTATTCTTAAAGTTCTTGATAAAGTACTTTTCTGAAAATGCTGAGGCAGTTGAATCAATTAAGAGAAAACAGCAGCTTTGCTCTATCAAAAATCACAGAAGAACAAAGTATGTCACTGTAGAGAATGTATGAGAAATTTTTTTCTCTTTATATCTGAGGCAAAGGTAATGTATGTCATACTGACTGTGATGTATTGTGCAAGAAATCAGCGGGATCCCTTGAATTGTTTAGTGATAACTCTTTGTGATAGAGGACTTGGTGAAAAGTCATCTCAAGTAGTCAAGAATTGGATCAAGTTTGTGTGTCCTGCTTCTGTAGGAAGACCTAAATCCTTTCTTTTTCATTTATTAAGTCTTAAGCATCCAAGTGTAATGAAGGGGACTGTTGATGCTTTCATAGTTCCAAAGTTAAAAAGGTCTGCGTTGGTTGAAACCTTATGTTAACATCTAATTTGTGGGGCTTGGGGTGTGTTTTGGTTTGTGATTTGTTGTTGCTTTTGGCTTGAAGATTTTTTTTACCTCATTCATTTAGTTGGGGTTTTTTTGCAAAATAGCTGATCATTTTGGTACGACGTTCAGAAGTTCATATTCTGTATTTAACTGTGTAATTGACAGTCTTAGAAATGGAGAGATGTACTTGCAAGTTCTTTGGATTCCTACTTATGTCTTCCTGTAAAGACAAGCATTTGAATTGATTTATGTTTATTGTAAATGGACACCCCTGTCTGTGGCAATGGTCTCCCTCCCAAGGCATTGCCAAGGGGATCTCAAGTTTTGAAGATAACTCCTGACCGTATTTAGATACGTCAGCTACTGTAGGTTCCTCCAGTAATGTTGCATAAGGGAATGAAAAGGAGTTTGATGTCCACGATGTCATGAATGAGAGGGCACCAGAAGATAGCCTGAAAACATCTATGATTTAGATGCTTCTCTCATTATCTTCAATTCTGTCTATGACATTGCTTAAAGGATTGTCTGAAACCATGCGTGCTTTATCACAAGCAGGCTAATAGTGTGATCATGTATTTTATTTTTGGTTGGTTGTTTTTTAATAGAGTTGACATGAAGATTGGTTACATAGATGTGTTAAGTGATATTTTTTCGTGCCTCTTAACAAAGAAAAATGGATGTGAATTATTTTTTCAAAATCTGATCCAAGGCATTAGCCGTACTGGCTGGAATTCCCACTTCTTTTCACCCGCTGCTCTCAAAGGAGTGACAAATGCTGTTTCTTAAAAGCTAAAGTGGAAGTAACTCATATTCATTCCATGTTGGAGTTTGCACACACAGCAAGGGAGAAAAACTGCCTAACTACCTCCTGTGTTATGGGAGACAAATGTTCTCGAAACCACACTTGTGGATATGCTTTCTCTGTAGGTGGACTATGAACAGACCTCTCTGTTGTTAAAATGTTTTCTGCTCTGTGGTGTCTGATTGTGAGTTATTTTCTCTCCACCAGCATTGATGTGTTGCTGACGGTGCTGCCAAGCTTGGGAACCTGGAGGAGCACAGTGGATTGCAGCTGCAACCTAATACTGAATGTGAGGGAAGTAAGTTTGTTCCTGTTTGTATATGTGACGCTACAGAGTCCAGTGCAGCATAAAAATGGACAAGGTTTATATATTTTCATCCTGACTACATTTGAAAGAAATGTCAGTGTTACACAAGTTGTATTTCCCTTGTTTTTATTTTATGTAGCAACTGTTAAATCATCTTTATGTGGTAATGCTGCCTTCATAACTGTGAGGTTCTTCACTGTGTTCAGGTATGTTATATTTACATTAGTGTTTTGTACTGACTAGTTTGTGAACTGAACTAGCTGCCTTGGTTTGGGCAATGTGAGTGAGAAGGGTGAAGTTTAAAGTTCCTTTTAGTCTTGCCTTAGCCGTAAGAGAGGCTTCAGCAACTTTTCCTACTCTGAATTGTATCCCCTTATTCTCTCAATATGGGGCATTAATTTGTTCAGGTTTTTAAATTGTTTTCTGTTTTGACAGTTCATGAGTACAAGAGTTGAAAAGATTTAAAAATCCAACATAGATTGGGAAATTTGTGGGTGGAATAGCATCAGGAAGCTGGCAAATTAGCTGAGTCATTTTGAACCTTTAGTAATTCATTTCGATAATACAATGCAAGTGATTCTGGAGTGCCAGTAGGCGTGATTGTAATGCAGTTCTGTTAATTGAAAGAATGATAATATGCGCAAGCAGGTAGGAATGTTCTCATTTTTATGTAGTAATGTTTCACAAAAGAGCTTCAGCTTAACTGCTTACAAACACTTGATTTCAAATAGCTGTGAGTATGTGTCAGTTGACACATGATGAGTTTTCTTCATTTTGTTTGTGAAAACCAATGCTGGAGTGTAGCTCCAAGATAATTTCTGGATCAGGTAAACTTTCAGGCATTTTCTTAGCAAGCAGAAGGGAGTGCAAGTGTAGAGTGAGGAAAGAAAGCTGTCCACCTTCAGCACAGGAGTGAGGAGTAGAGAGCTGTGGGTAACATTTCAGTGAAGAAGTACTTAAAGATACATTTTCTTTAATAGAAGCTAAGTTTAAAATTGAAAAACCAGGTTTGCTTGTTACAATCCTCTATCCATTGGGCCCGAGACCTTGAATAGCTGAATCACTTTGAATTTTTTTTCTCTATCACACAGGCAATCTCTTCTGCACCGCCAAATGAAAGCCAGGTTTGAGAGTAAGCTTAACCATGGGCTTCTGTGTTCTCCATCCCTCTTGCTGGCTGTAAAATGCCTGTTACTTAGATAACAAGCATCTGTGCAGTGCTGAGGAGAGAGAGGCTCAGGATACATGATGATGTATTAACACCATACCCATCTGCTCTCCAAAAAGAAAACAGGTATGAAATTTGCCTTTTAGCTTATTTTTGAGTAAAACATTTAAAAAGTGGTAATGGTCTTGGTCTAAGCAAGCAGCAACAGTGCCCACTGAAGGACCAATAAGTATTTAGGTTTCCAAAGGTCCCTGTCTCGAATAAGCCAGTAAATCTGCATCACCATGATATCCCACAACAGAGCAAGATGTATGTGTATGTGCTACAGTCTGCATCAGGGTGAAATGCCCAGAGGAACTTTAGTATTGGAGTAACAGAGAGTTGAATGAAGAAATAACCAGTACCTGGAGGGGGAAATCACATAAAGCATCAGAAATACAACGCTGATGTTGTCAACACTGAAAAATAAGGAGTGGTGTGATATAAGAGGATGGTAAGTAGCTGGTAGGGACATGTGACATGGCTCTCTGGTTAAGGCTGTCCAGGTATCTTGTCTATTTAAGAAATGGTGAATATTTATGGAAGGAGGATTTATGCTCTGGCCATTCTGCTGTGTCAGAAGAGTCATTAGTATTGAAATTTGGTTTGAGTGCAATTTAGAAGGAATATTTGTTCTTAACTTGGAGCCTGTCAGCAAATCCAATGTGGTTTTGAAATGCAGTATGTGTTGTTCCACCAGACTGACTTGCTTTTGCTAGGGATGTTTGTCTCAGTCTGTATAGATGCACTTGAGTGCAGGACTGGAAAGAACAGCCTTCAGTCAGAAAGTCCAGGTTTCACTGATGTGATGTGGTATCATGACTTTCATAAATACGTTAAGCCTCTTCTTAAAAGTAATTTTGGGTTTTTTTTGCTCCTCTAATTCTAACTGGAAGGAATGTTCCAGAATCTCACCATTGCAAAAATTACAAAACATCTTCTAATATTGATGTATCCAATCCAAGCCTATGTAGCTTATGTTTATGTTTGGCCATGTTGAGCTTCTTGTCAACCAACACCCCCAAGTCCTCCTCTGAGCTGCTGTCAATCTATTCTCCATCCAGACTGTATTTGTGCTTGGGGTTGCCCCTGCCAGGTGCAGGACCTTGCACTTGGCCTTGTTGAACTTCATAAGGTTCTTGTTAGCCCACCCTTCCAGCCTACCCAGGTCATCCTGTTCCTGGGGGACATGTGCCAGGTCTCACTGGTTATGAGCATCCTTGGTGGTGTATTGACAAATGCAGCAAGCAATGCAGAATTGCCAAAATCCTTATTTAATAGTTCACTATAAATGTATACTCTCTTGTGCACTTTATACCAGCCCAAACCAAATCAGTGAATCATGTTTGGATCTGAAAATGCTGTGTCTTTCCTGAACAATCCTCATGTTTGACAGTAGATACATTAGTCACTGTGTTGTACACTGTGCTCATGTCAGTGAGCTGAAAACAAGTTTAATAACTCGGTCTACTAGGTATCTTACAAACTATCAAAAAAATATACAAGTTATATACAAGCTGAAGATAAAATATCATTCCCAACTATTAGTCTGTGTTATAAATTACAAGATTCCAAATATTTGTATTTTCTCTAGTAACTGTGCAGGTTATCTACAAACTGTGAGAATAATATATATACAAGTATATGCAAAGAGGGTTAACATTACCTGCTTCTTCAACTCTCTGCTAAGCTGT